ATCAGATGGATTTGTAACTGGCTGACAAACCATACTCAGTGAGTAGTCCTTAATGGTACTACATCTACATGGAGGGGAGTAAACAGTGGGGTACCAGAAAGTTCTGTCCTAGGCCCAGTACTGTTCAATATCTTCATAAACTACTTAGATGAGGGAATAGAAGGGGAACTTGCCAAATTTGCGAATGATACTAAACTGGCAGGATTACTTAAAACCTTAGATGATAGGCTCAAGATCCAGAAGCATCTTGACAGACTGGAACACTGGGCCTTATCTAACAAAATGAAATTCAATGTAGAGAAAAATGAAGTCTTACACTTAGGCAAGAAAAACCAAAAGTACAAATATAGACTGGGTGAAACCACACTTAATAGCAGTAATTGTGAGAGGGATCTCGGAGTGTTAGTGGACAACCAATTAAATGAGTCAACAGTGTGCGGCGGCAGCCAAAAAAGCCAGTGCAATCCTAAATTGCATTAACAGAGAGATACAATAAAGATCAAGTAAAGTACTAATACCACTCTATAAGGCCTTAGTAAAACCACACCTAGAGTACTGCATCCAGTTTTGCTTCTCGTTCCAGTTTTGGAGAGCAACCAGGATGATTAGAGGACTGGAAACTAAAACATGTGAAGAATAGTTACAGGAACTGGGCACGGCTAGTCTAGGGAAGAGAAGGACCAGGGGAGACAGGATAGCAGTGTTCCAACATTTGAGGGGCTGTCACAGAGAGGAGGGGGTCAAGCTATTTTCCAAGGCACCTGAAGGCCAGACAAAGAATAACAGATGGAAACTGAACAAGGAGAGATTCAACCTAGAAATAAGGATAAATTTTCTGACAGTGAGAACAACCAACCAATGGAACAGAAGTTGCCTTTGGAAATTGTGGGAGCTTCATCACTGGCAGCTTGCAAGAAGAGACTGGACAAAATGGTGTAGAACTTCCTGCTTGGGTGGGGGGGTTGGACTAGATGACCTACAACATCCCTTCCAACTCTGTTAATCTGTATGAAATAGCAACCATATAAAACTTTTAAATAAATACCAAATAATTGCTGAAACTTCTCCTAAAGCATGTCACATATTATACAGTAATGTTATTTGCTGTCATCTCTTCAATACATTGTTAATTTTTAAAACTTAGCTGCATTCATTCATCCCTGTTATGGCTCAGCAGGAGCCTTTAGAGCTGCTATCAGACTCTGACAGCGAGGGGCCCTATGAGTCAGGCCTGGAGGAGGCGGAGGGCCCTGGACAGGGTTCTGACTCCGAGCAGGGCTCAGCAGGGCTCAGAGAGAATAGTTGCTCCCCAGGTAATGACTGAGCCTTGGATCAGTGAGAGAGGCTGACACAGAAACCTCCTGTG